TCTGGGACTGCGTGCGCCTTCTAAATGGTGGGACAGTGGGACGCGGGCCAGACACAGGAGAGGGGAGCCATCTGATGGGCAAGGAGAGGGCTGCTCGTAGGAATCCCGGGAAGGGGGACCCAAAACATACTATTTCAGAGTTCTCACTATTAGCAGTTAAATGCCTCTCTCTCTCTCCCCCCTGGTGAAATGAATGAATGAAATCGTTTTTCTGCGAGGCTTCTCTTGGTTGTTGTTTTTTTTGAGAATACAAACCCTTCTTGAAGTCAGGAGTGAATAGGAAGGGGTTTGTAAACATCCATGGAGAAAATCCACTCTCTTTATTACAATCCGCTCCCCCCATAGGCTTTTTGAAGCCCCCTGCCATATGCTGGGGACATCGATGTAGGGTCTTATGGGTGCTTCTTTATGAGCGGTCCAGTGAGGTCACCCCCAGACATCTAAAAGGCTCTTGCTCTTTAAAATGTAAGCTTAAAGGCTTAAGCTATTTGTTTACTAATCTTATTGGTGGTACAATTCAAGAGGTCACAGCCCATCTGTAAGCCTCTCTGTATCTACGCCACTCCCCGCCTTTATTTTTATTTTACATTTTTCCCGACGATGGCTCTGAAAGACAAAAACCATTTGTTTCCATCTGTGCTCTCAAATGGGCTCCCCCTGCCCCCAAAGGATGACATCAAAGGTGTTTAAAGCAGAGTAAGCACATTGCGTCTGCTCTTGCCTGCTTCATCACAGGCCCTTGCTGCCCCTCCTTCTCCGGAAAGCAGAAGTGGGTCTACCTTAGAAACAGATATTTGAAATCGTCTTCACTTATAATATCGGCAGGAAGTCTTTGGTCTAACTATCTCATAGAGGCCTGCAGAAGCAGGCAGCTGGCCTCCCGAGTTATTGAACTCAGGTTATGATGACCGGGTCACTGTTGTTGACCTGGAGACCAGGCTGGCTTAAAATGGTCACTTAGGGTAAATAGTTGCACACACAGTCATCTCTGGGGACTCTGAAATGAGGTGACATGATAGCCACTGGCAAAGAAGTGCCCAGAAGTGGCATTTGGGTGGACAGCACATGTGTAGTTATATTGTGGGGTTGTTGCCTTTTGAAAATGCCTTGGCTTCAGAGACCCTCGACAAGTCATGTGTCAATTAGGAACAATATTACATATATGTATATAATATATATGAAGAAATAGGAATTTTTAAATATAGATAAACAAGGATTAGCAATTTGGATTTTATCAGGATAGAAGTCTAGCTATTTA